ATCCCATGGGATGATCCCGGTGATTCCCTGTCCTCCATCCCATGGGGTGATCCTGGTGATTCCCATCCTGGTGATTCCATGTTCTCCCATCCCATGGGATGATCCCGGTGATTCCCTGTCCTCCATCCCATGGGATGATCCTGGTGATTCCCATCCTGGTGATTCCATGTTCTCTCATCCCATGGGATGATCCCAGTGATTCCCTGTCCTCCATCCTGTGGAATGATCCTGGTGATTCCCATCCTGGTGATTCCCTGTCCTCGATCCCATGGGATGATCCCAGTGATTCCCTGTCCTCCATCCTGTGGAATGATCCTGGTGATTCCCATCCTGGTGATTCCCTGTCCTCCATCCCATGGGATGATCCCAGTGATTCCCATCCTGGTGATTCCATGTTCTCCCATCCCATGGGATGATCCCAGTGATTCCCTGTCCTCCATCCCATGGGATAATCCTGGTGATTCCATCTTCTCCATCCCAGATCCTGGTGATTCCCTGTCCTCCATCCCATGGGATGATCCTGGTGATTCCCATCCTGGTGATTCCCTGTCCTCCATCCCATGGGATGATCCCGGTGATTCCCATCCTGGTGATTCCCTCAATCCCATGGGATGATCCCAGTGATTCCCATCCTGCTGATTCCATATCCTCCATCCCATTCCAGATCCGGGTGAGGGTCATCGAGGCCCGGCAGCTTCCCGGGATCCAGATCCGGCCGGTGGTGAAGGTGACGGTGGCTGGACAAACCCGGAGAACGCGGATCCGGAAAGGGAACAGCCCCTTCTTTGATGAGGTCAGCGGGAATTCCCACTCCGACAATCTCCAGGGATCGGGATGTGGGAATGTTCTCCAAGGGGAAAACTGGGATAATGCCTCATCCTCATCCTGGTTTTCCACAGACTTTTTTCTTCAACGTCTTTGAATCCCCGTTGGAGCTGTTCGATGCTCCCATTTTCCTCACGGTGAGTGTTGGGAAATTCTGGAATATTTCCCAGGGAAACCCCACCCTGTTCCCCAGGATCCTCCATCCCAGCAGGATTTGGGTTGGATCACCCATTTTTTCCTCATTTTCAGGTCGTGGATTCTCGATCGTTCCGCACGGATTCGGTGATCGGGGAATTCCGGGTAAGATCCCATTCCCCTTTTCCTGGTGTTTCCCGCTCTGGATGAACTCTGGAATCTCCTTTTCCTTTAATCCCGCAGATGGATGTGGAGACCATTTACTCCGAGCCAAGTGAGCCTTGGGAAATTCCTTTGGTTTTTTTTTGGGAAATGCGCCCACACATCCCAGCTCTTCCATAGAGGAACCCCAAATCCATGACCATGGAATCCCGGAATGGTTTGGTTGGGAAGGAACCTTAAGGATCATCCGGTTCCATCCAGGGAGAAATTCCATTATCCCAGGTGGATCCAAGTCCATCCAACCTGGCCTTGGGCACTTCCAGGGATGGAGCATCCACAGCTTCTCTGGGAATTCTGTTCCAAAGACCTCTCCCTCTTTCCTGGTCCCTTCCTGGGAAAGGAACTGGAATATTCCTGTATCCCATTCCATGATTTTCATTTAAACCCCACCCAGGAGCATCGCCAACCACCCTGCACATCCAAGGAGTAATTCCCAGTTTTCCATGTTTTCCCGCAGAACACGCTTTCCGCAGGAAGTGGCTGCTCCTCTCGGATCCGGAGGATTTTTCCGCGGGAGCCAAGGGCTACCTGAAGGTCAGCGCCTGCGTGCTGGGGCCTGGAGACGAAGCTCCCGTGAGTATTCCCACTGGGAATGGGGGGGACATTCCAGCCCTGGGACATTCCAGCCCTGGGACATTCCAGCCCTGGGATATTCCAGCCCTGGGACATTCCAGCCCTGGGATATTCCAGCTCTGGGATATTCCAGCTCTGGGATATTCCAGCCCTGGGATATTCCAGCCCTGGGATATTCCAGCCCTGGGATATTCTGGCCAAGAGCCACCAACTGCCACGGCCATTCCCAGGGAAGCCACAGCTTGGATTTTCCTCTGTTTTGGGGGAAAAGTGCTGGATTTTCTCATGGAATCCTGGAATGGTTTAGGCTGGGGAAGATCTTAAATCCTGTCCCATTCCCACCCAGGGACACCTTTCCCAATCCCAGTTGGATCCAAGCCCAGTGTCCAACCTGGCCTTGGGCACTCCAGGGATCCAGGGGCAGCCCCAGCAAATCTGGGAATTCCAGACAAATCCCAGCCAGGAATTCCTTGCCAAGATCCCAGCCCAAGCTCCCCTTTCCCAGTGGGAGCCATTCCCTGGCTCCTGTCCCTCTGTCCCTTGTCCCCAGTCCCTCTCCAGCTCTCCTGGAGCCCCTCCAGGGTCTCTGAGCATTCCCTGGAATTTTCCCTTCTCCAGGGGAGCATTCCCAGCTCTCCCAGAGCCGAGGGGCTCCAGGATCCTGGAATAGTTTGGTTTGGTTAAATCCCACACCATCCCTGTTCAGGGACACCTCCCACTATCCCAGGTGGCTCCAAGCCCCATCCAACCTCACCTTGGACACTCCCAGGGGTGGCAAATCCGCCCAGCCTGTGTCTTTTGGGATTCTCCTGCCCATTCCCGAATCCAGGGTGACTTTTCCCGTTGTCCTCTTCCCACAGCTGGAGAAGAAGGAGGTGGCTGAGGACAAGGAGGACATCGAGGCCAATCTGCTGCGCCCCACCGGGGTCACCCTCAGGGGGGCCCAGTTCTGCCTCAAGATCTTCAAAGCCGAGGATTTGCCCCAGAGTAAGTTTTCCCTTCGGATCCCTTGGAATCACGACGTTCCGGGCAGGAATTAGGGCCCAGAGAAGGGAGGGATCCATATGGTAATCCAAGGATATTGGGCAGTTTTATGGAAGAGGAGGTTCTTACTGGTCCAAACTGGTTTTATCCCCCTGCCTTTCCCGCCTGGAGAGTGTCTGCTCCATGGGAATGCTTGTCCCACTGGTGGGACAGCTGGGACCCTCTGGATGCTGCGGAATTCCATGGATTTTGGCATCTCCCTCTTTTCCCAGTGGATGACGCCGTCATGGACAACGTCCGGCAGATCTTCGGCTTCGAGAGCAACAAGAAGAACCTGGTGGATCCCTTTGTGGAAGTCAGCTTTGCCGGGAAAACGGTCAGCGGAGCGGGATGCTCTGGGATCCCGGGAATGGCAGCGGGAGGAACCCGGGATTGGGATGGCAGCGGGGTGCTCCTGGGGCTGGGATAACAGTGGGGTGGTCTTGGGACTGGGAATGGCAGAGGGAGGACTTTGGGATTGGGAATGGCAGCGGGATGACCTCTCATGGTCCTCAGGGTTGGGATGGCAGTGGGACATTCCCGCCCAGGTCTGCGGGATTGGGATTTCAGTGGGATGTCCTCGAGGCTGGAATGGCAGTGGGACATTCCCTGTGGATCCCCAAGCCTGATCCTGGAACGAGGATATTCGGTCTTTGAATGGAGGAATTTGGTCTTGGATGAGGGAATTTGGTCCTGGAATGTGGGAATTTGGTCTTGGAATGGGGAAATTTGCTCCTGGAATGAGGCAAATGTGATCCTGTGGGTCCCAAGGTGGGAAGATCCCTTGGGAAATCCGAAACATCCTCTGCCTCCTGCACTGGGAGGTTTAGGAACCCCGTGGAATTGGGGGATGGATTTTAGGGAATCTGAGGCTGGACTTTGTGGAACCTGAGCCTGGATTTGGAGGAATCTGAGTCTCAAGTTTAGGGAATCTGAGGAAGAATTTTAGGGAATCTAAGGCTGGATTTTAGGGAACTTGAAGCCAGGTTTTGAGGAGCCTGGTTTTGGGATTTTGGGAACCTGAAGCTGGATTTGGGGGAATGTGAACCTCAACTTCTGGGAATCTAAGGCTACATTTTGGGGAAACTGAGGCTGGATTTTAGGGAATCTGAAGTTGGATTTGGGGGAAACCTGAGCCTCAATTTTTGGAAATCTGAGGCTGGGTTTTAGGGAATCTGAGGCCAGATTTTAGGGAAGCTGAAGCCGGATTTTGGGAAATCTGAGGCTTCCCAACTCCATGAACTGGGCCAGCAGCTGCTTTCCTGGGACGACCCCAACTTTTCCCTCTCCCCATCCTTCCCTTCCAGCTCTACTCCCGGATCCTGGAGAAGAACGCCAACCCCCAGTGGAACCAGTGCCTGACGCTGCCGGCCATGGTGAGCACTGGTGTCCCCGAGGTCCCCTCCCGGTGTCCCCAGCACCACTCACCCTCTTCCCGTATCCCTTTTCCCAGTTCCCTTCCATGTGCGAGCGGATGAGGATCCGTGTGACCGACTGGTGAGCGGGAAGGGGCATTCCCAGTGCCCGGAGAGGCGGGATGGGCATAGGGACATCTCTTCCCCCCACCACGGTCCCCAAAGTGACGATGTCGCCTCACAGGGACCGTCTGACGCACAATGACGTCATCGGCACCGCTTTCCTCGGAATGTCCAAGATTTCGGCCCCTGGCGGGGAGCTGGAGGGTAAGGGTGGGAAGCAGGCCGGGATTTGGGATGCATGGCCTTGGAGGAGCTGCATGGCGTGGCTGGAGGTTGGTGGTGGCTTTGGGGAGGTCACAGCGGTCACCGTCCCCGCCTGGGGACACGGGATGGGGC